TCCTTCAAGTCTTTGATGCGGACGACATCCTCCTCTTGGGATGCGAAACTTTTGGTCTGGTGTGCGCTGGCGGAGTCTGGGAGTGTGCCGTGAGCATCACCTACCGCACTGAAAGCAGCACTTGGCGCGCAGAATGCAGCGCCCCCCTGAGTTGCATCACCACTGTTGGTGTCTAAACCCACTTCGTTCATTGAGAGACGGGGGCATGACAATTCGTCGTGGGAACCACCGCAAACCCTACACTGGCCAGTGGGTTCGGGTTCATCGGCAACATCATCATCCTCGTTCTCGGAACTTGATGAGGACTCTGAGCTCGCGTCTGATGCAGCCTTAGGGGTAGTGTCGACCATTCCCGCACTAAAACTTAGGGGGATTATGGGAACCGGGTATGCCTTAGCAGCTGCCCTTGCGGCAGTTGGGGCAGGGCAGGGAGCTGAAGCCATTGGAGGAGGAGCCACGCTTTGTGCCGCGACCAAAGTGCTAAGCTGATGCACCATTGAGGCTAGGGAAGCAATTTGCTGCTTAACATCTGCTATCTCACTTTTCTCATCCTGACTACTGCTCTGCGCGCCAACGGCTGCGCCTTTGGCGGACACAGCACTGTTGCTTGCGGCACCTGCACCTACATCGAATGCGCCAGTAGGGGCTGCGCCCTTGACGGACGTGGCACTTCCTTCGGCGATCGCTGCTTCGGCACATTGCTCTGAATCGGTAGGGGCAGAACCCTTTGCGAGTCCCGCACTTCCTGCGATGTCCTGCGTTGGGCCGGTAGGGGCCAGGCTCTTTACGAGTCCCACACTTCCTGCGGCAACATCACGTGGGGTTGCAACATCCTGGAATGTGACATGCAGGTTGGCAGAGGAAGCACCGGGCTGGGCGCCCGAGTCAACACCAGTTGTATGATGAGGACCCGCTTGAGGTGCGGCACTATCTAAACCCTGTTGTAAGGATCTATCAAGTCCACTCTGCTGGTTTGCTTGGTCTTGCAATCCACTGGATGAAGCCCCCGTTTGGTTACCCATTGACACATCCTGTCCACCCAAAATGGGGGAGCTCCGGTTATGCGACCCTTTGGGTTGAGGGGTAATAGAATCCGTACCATTATCGGTTTGTGCTTGCGGGGCACTTTGCGGCGAGCGAATCGGAGGCTGACGGACTTCAAGCAAAAGGGGAACCGTCCTTTCAAGTTCGGCTAACCTAGACGCTTGTTGCAAATCCTTCTCTTGCAGAGCTAGAATGGTGGCATCACGTTCGGCTACGGCGCGTTGTGCTTCCTGATAAAGGTATTGGGTCTGAGCTTGGGCCTGGGCCTGTTCAGCATTAGCCCTGTTGCGAACCTCTGCTGCATACCTTTCAGCTAGTGCCCTAGTCTGACCTACCTCTTCATGGGCCTCGGAAACGACTGTTTGCGCCTGAAGCCTAAGCACCTCGGCCTGTTGCCTGGTTGCCTCCTCTTGCTCCGCAGCGCCAATGGCTTGCTGCCTCGCATTGAGCTCGTGCTCGCGTGCATAACTCACGGCCTGTTGAGCTTGGGTTACAAGGTTCATTGCCTGATGCCTAAACAACCCTTCCCTTTGTTGGGCGGCTTCCCGGAGTTCCCCCGCCTCCCTTCGGGCCTGCTCAGCCAGCAGTTGCTGTTGCTGTGCATGTTCAGCGGCCTGAAGCGCGACATCGGAAGCATGGTGGGCACGCTGAACGGCGGCACCCGCAACAAATGCAGCAGCTGGGAGGTTCTGGGTTGGATCGGGCGTTCCAGCCGGCTCTGATGAGGATGGTTCTGAAACGAACATGCGCCTAACAGGGGTTGCATCGGAATCTGGTGCAGGGCTATTAGGGTTCTGCCTAACAACAGACATGGCTGGCACCATTGCACCCGCAAGGTCTGGGTCATCATAGTCTGTGCCATGTGAGGATCTAGACCTATCTTCGGATGGGGGTGTGATGCCAGAGGGATTCATGCCTGAGCCGCACGGATGCGATAGCTTTTCCTGCACACGCGAACCAAGTCAGTGCGCCAAAGGCAGCACTCTCCAAGGCCGGTGATTTGTGCCTGGTGGGATTATGAGATGTGCACTTACGGCTACACTCAAAACAGATTATTGAATGATGCAGCAACACACTCAGTCACACAAGGATTGATATACCTCACTAATTGATAATGGGGAATCTCCTTTGAACCTAAACTTTTGATTGCAAATTGGATGCAAATGTGAAGGCTCACCAATGCAGTTGTGTGCAATTGGAAATGTGTGACTTCGTGTGTCTTTGCGCCACAGCTCTTCGGGGCGCCAACGGCTGCCCCCTGCACAGGTTGGAAAACTATCCTAGGTGCGCCAACGGCTGCACCCCTGTCGTGAGCACCAGGTGATTTGCTACCTGCGAACCTCCTCAAGGAGCTCTGCGGCAGTAAGTGCATGGGCAGGCTGAATGGTCGCTCGGTCTGGTCCAACCACTGCTCAATAGCAAGCAACGCGTCCAGAGTCCCTTGCACCCCCTGGTTGGGGTACGCCCGGAAAGCGTGCGCGCCTGTAAGTCGCGCCTCACGACAGATTGTGGCGTTGTCGTCCACAAGGATGTGTGTTGCCCAGCCGTGCAACAGGTTTGCTTTGCCAGCAACGCCAACCCTGGAGCGCGTGAACTGCGTTGCGCCCACGTAGATGCCCCTGTAAGCCAAGTGTATCCTTGCTGTGGCGATCTCCGGTGCCGTAGTTCGTTCGCGCTCCACCCCACAATAGCTGCAAACAATCCAGTTTATAAACGGACCGTGAGCTGTCTGTAGACGAATCAATCCGTCCACGATCTGTGGGTGAAGCCTTCCCCCAGAGCGGATGTTCTCGAGCACCCCGTGCCAATCCAGAACGACGTTGAGCGTCTTCCGGTCCGCAAGGGTTGTCCGAGGTGGGGGATCTGGGATCCCGTGGCTTTGTCGCCTTGGTGGAGGAGGCTTCGGTGGCTGCTGTGGCGGTTGCCGCCAAGGTGGGTCTGGAGCGCCAAAGGCTGCTCCCTGCCCTTTTGATGGCGTCCTCAACGATGCCGGCGGCTGCTTGAACCTGATGTGTGGGCCAGGCCGGCTGTTTGCAGGGACAGAAGCCTTTCTGGCTGGCGGTGCCGCTAAGCGTGGGGGCGAAGAAGACCTCGCTTTGCTTGGAACACGCCCGTGACTGCTTGCCAAAAATGCTGCAACTGTTCCCCGCGCCGCTGGCCGCGGCCCGCGCTTTGCTGTGGCTTTCGTAGCAGGGGCCGAAGGTGAGGCCGGCACTGTAGTTCTATGAAACGGTGCTTCGTATACCCCACCCGCCCGGAATGCTGCTCTGCCTGAAAGCAAATCTTCTGTGTTGTGCACCGTGTCCCCGTCGGAGTAGTCTTCCAGGTGGTAGACCTCCGCGTTCCCGTAGTTTGGGGTCGAGGAACTAGACCTTTCCCCGTAGGCCTCGGGGCGGAGCCACACGTCCGTTGGCAGTTCGTGAGGATCACTGAACTGCGGTAGACGTGAGCGGGCTCGGCCTGCAACTGCCCGTGGAGCGCCGGAGGGCTGCTCCCTCTGCAGTGTCCACGTGCCGGTCCGGTCGATGCGGACCGTCGTATAGGCCGAGCTCCTTGGCGCCAGCACGATCGGCCTGTCGGTTGGCGAGGTCCTTGATGGCACACTCCTCGATCTGCCATGCGAGGATCGACTGGTCGTCGGGCGAGGAGTTCTGCGGGTTCCCGAGCTCGACTCGCCTGCCGCGCCGAGGGCTGCGGCCTCCTGGGTCGGTGTCGGAGTTCTTGACCGAGAGCGAGACCTAAGCACGATGGGCACTTGGGAATAGACTGCTCGCAGAACTTGCCTTGACACTGAGCGTGGGGAGGTCGTAGATGTCCTTGTCCTCGGAGCTGTACCAGTCACCGCGCCTTGGGCTGCGGTCCTCGCTGTAGGCAAAGCCGGAGCAGACAACCAAGCCTCAGCAGGTGAGGTCTGCTGGGCCAAGGAGGGCTGCGCCGCCTGCTGCTGTTGCGGTGGTGTAGAGGGAGTCGGAGATGAGGGAGTGGCAGGCACTGGGTTTGCACCTGCCGCGCCAGTGGCTGCGGCCCTCCGTTCTTCTTCACGGATTGCCCGGATGCGAAGGGCCGTAGGCTGATGCCACCTGTGTAGCTCCTCCCAACGCTGCTCGGCGACGTCCCGGTTCCAGGCCCGAAGGGCAGCAAGCTGCACCTCTGATCCCTGTTCCCACTGCAACTTGGGTGGTGTAAACCCAAAACGCTGCTGGACCTCGTCGATCACGTCCTCCTGGAGCTCCCACCACACTCGCTTCTTGTTTGCGGCTCCTCCACGGGTACCACGTTTGTGATACTCTTCCTCGACGGCCACGCGCGCCCCCTTATGGGGGAACCGCTGAGGGAGGGCCTAGTTAATCCCGAAAGAATGGCTATACGGCTGATAACCAATCAAAAGAGCAAGAAACCCCAAACGCGCGCCAAAGGCTGCGCCCCGAACAAAAAGAGGTGGATTGACCGTGGTTAATCCCTCAGCGGTTCAGGGGGTTGTTTCTAAACTCTAGTTCCGCACTCAGCGCTCTTTTTCTTGTTGAGCGCTTGAGCCAAACGGCGTTTGCCGTTTGACAAGTCTGTCATGTCATGCAACCCTCAACCTAAACCAAAGTGGCCTCATGCAAACCTCACACCAGTGAACACACAACTAGGCAAGTTACCATGCCTTTGGGGGCAAAGGGGTCGTTATTTCTTGACTATCTTAAGGCCCAAGCTTGGCCGCGATTCATTTTTCCAGACAACCCCCCAAATTGGTGGCCTTCCTTTTCTAGGTCCTCCAGCAGCAGCAGAGAGGTTAGAACAAGGGTACCCGATTTTTGTTTCTGTCTATTTTAGTAGGGTTGAACCCTCCCAACCAAAAAAGTTGGGTTAAACAGGGCACCCAGCTGGGGGACCTTCCTTTTGGCTTTCCTCCAACACCCACCAAAAGAGCGGGGTGTCACCCCCTCTTTACGGAGGGTTGGAGTCCGTGCCTGCGTTGCCAGGCTGAAGCCGCAATGCTCAGAGATATCCACGAAAAAGAGCACGGCCTCGGGTTTTTGGGGCGACAAAACGCACATAGTTTGAGCGCATTCTTTTGAGGGGTCTCTTTTTTGGAGGGTGCCCGCTGTGTTGGATCGGTTTAAAGGTCACTCAAAGGAAAATCACCCAATTTGGGTCTCTCTTTTGTGAGGGTGCCCCTGTTTTAGGGCAGTGTAAAGGACACCCAGAGGAAAATCACATTTCTTTTTGGGGAGGGGGTCCTCTAAGGGGGCCAACCTCAGTTGCCCCACGCAACTCGGAACATTGAAGGAATGCCACCCATGTCGGCAACCTTAAAGCACACCTGTAATTTCTGTTCTGGGACTGCCCACTCGCCCATTCGCTGGCTAGCTTCACTGCAAGCAACATAACCTCCCCCCCCAGAAAACAAGTTTCTTGCCATCCGTCCTAAATCGTTTGCAAGCTTACCTCAGCGCTCAGCTTTCTAGGGCTAGCTTCCATTTCCATTCTTTCCAGGCATCCTCTTGGAGAAAACCGCCCAACAAAACCCGAAGAAACAGCTGGTTGAAATGAAGTATGGTTAGGAAAACCAAACGGAGTCAACCTCTGGAAGCTTGGCAAACCACCATAAAGGCTATCCATGCTTTAGGTTCAATCCCTAGATTGGCAAACCACCACAAAGCTATCCATCTAGGAAACTGTTTGGATGCGGCTTTTGTTGATCTTCGCCTGTAGAATATTAAAAGAGTACTAAAAGAGTACTAAAAGAGTACTAAAAAAGGTTTAACAGGCGGAAGAACAGGTAAAATCCACAAGCGCAAATCCAAACCGTTGTCTAGAATCCGCAAACCACCACAAAGCTATCCATGCTTAAGGTTTCAAAAACCAACAAAATTCTTTTTCGCGCTGCTTGCATGCATCTCCTTGGGCCACGGCCGCGGGCAGGTGAGCCAAAGCCGTGATGGCCGTCATCTCGATGCTGTTCCGGTCCTATCGGCTATCTGAGGAGATGAGACAAGCCTCATGTTTCTTTTTCTTCGAAAAATCGGGGTCTGGAGCCCCGACTTCGAGCTGATTTTTGCTTTGGCTTCCGTTGAACCAATGGAAAGGCGATGAGCCAAGCCCATTTTCTCGAAGAAAAGGTTTCGAGTTGGTCTTCTTTTGGCCTCCGTTGAACCAAGGGGTTTTTAGGGTCAACAACTCCATTTATCCCCACCCGCTTGAAGTTGCTACGAACCAAAGCTGATTTTGGAGACCCCGAAGCTTGCAGCTGTTGGGGAAATCAGCAAAGGCCAAACAAACCAAGCTCTGATAAAAGAAACATGCCATGTATTGGTGTTGAGCGAAGCCGCACCTATATTACCCTTGAAACCTTCGAAAACCCCGTGTTACCCTGATAACCTTTCATCCTTACAACCCTTGCAACCCTTGTAACCCGAAACCACTTCTAGGATGATATTCTCCTTCTGGGCCTTCCTTGTCCATGTTGATCAATCTGCCGTAGAGTTTCTGATCAGCCCCACTCGCATGTGGGGCGGTTTCGAAAGTACAAACAGGGCTGGATGGTTTGCCAAAGACCTAGCAAGTTGGCTTGGACCCCGATATAAGTTAGAATGCAACTTGCCCATCTTTCAACCGTATCTTTCAACCGCAAAACATGTAATAACACCGCCAACAACCTGCCACCTTAATCATTATTCCCCTCACATCTAATCTTATTCATCTTGCTCGAATAATGAAATTTACAAATTACAATACTCATAAACACATTGATTCCAAAAAGGGGTTACAACCTAAACACAGTTTTGGGGAGTATTGTAAGGTGCGAGTTGTTCGACTTTTTATAAACATATTAAGCATCATTCGCAACTACAATTACATCGCTTACAAAACGGAATGATATCATCTAATGTATGTGTATTTTTGTTATGTCTTTCTCTGTGCTGTTAGATGTGTTATGATATTGCAATTGTTTATATCAACAGACAAAAACAAAACACAACCGCAGTAATTGCATTGATTGTTAGCATTGTCTAAGAACCGTTGGGCATGTACGTAACCTGCTTTAGGTGTGGATATTTTGCTTTTTCTGTCCTGCTCTTTGTGATTTAGTATGCTTCTTTCAACATAACGTACTTAACCTCACTTAAATCCCCTGCTCCGACTGCCGCTGTGAAAATCCATTCTCTACTCTTCTGGGCTGAATGACAAGTGGAGCAAGAAGCAAATATAAAAGTGCGTCTTACTTTAGCAACTTCTACGGATTGTAAAACTTCAGTTCTTACATGATTTAGTTTAAAAATCCTCACTTCCAATATGAACAATTTTATATGTCAAACTTACATTTAAAAAATGATGCTTTCGTTTAAGTATATTCTCTACAAATTTAGCAGCTATCCTATACGTCATATTAATCTTTCCTATGTTCCAGGTTCCTAAATTCACTGGATACATGTTTGCGGGTTGTGTTCAAGAATGCTACGTTGTTTTAGAACTACTTATCTCTGTTGTATATTTGTTAAACAAATGATTAATAATTGTTTCAATAGGTAGTTTATGAACAAGCATATCAGTTTTTTTATGCTCTTGAGTTTGTCTTTATCTTCCTGTGTGGTAAGTATCTTACATTCTCTGAATAATATTGTGTTGATAACATTGTATTTAGCATTGTCAGCGTAGAATTCACTTGTTGTCTCCTGAACTGGCTGAACATGTTCTGTGTCTCCTGTTCCTATCATTACGTTGTTGTGATTGTTATGTTCTACAAATTGTTCTACAATTATGTGCTTAAAATACCGAAATAAATGTCATCGAATACCAATACATTATTGCTTGTAACAACAAAAAGGTTCTAATTTAGCATCTCCATAATTCCTAACAAATAGTTTATCCATAGTCATTGCTTCACCTTCAAACGCCTGTAACACTTTATTATTCGTAGGAGCCTTGAACAACCATTTTTTCGTATATAGCTCTTGCCTGTCCCCCTCTGATCATCATAGGGTGATTTTCCTTAATGGCTTCAATCATACTTATGTATCATATTCAACTTGATTTTGTTTAGACTCGTACCGTTACTGTTTGGTTTACAATTTCATGGTTGACAGTAGAAAACACTAATTTATTCGTTGTGTGTTGAAACTGTCCAACCCCCAATATGATTATGAAATTCGAATAACTCCTCTGCCTTATCTACATTGCAAGTATCAACTACAAAAGCTTCTGTTTTGAAACTAGATGCCTTAATATTGGTTGGTATCAATCTGTAAAAGTCTTTGCTCATTTTAGATTTATGGTGCTGTAATAGAAGAAGCTTGATATACCTACAACCATTCCATAACTCTGCTTCATCCTTTAAATTAACTGTATAGTGAGACGATGCTTTTATATCCCCTTCTTCTTCTTCTTCTGCTTCATGAACTGCAACATTCTATACGAGATAAGCCATGAATTTGACCTCCGTATTCTGTTTGATAATGGACCGCTTCAACGATACGTCAACACAAAATAGTTTGATGTGCGATTGCCCCTTTCTGTTCTAACAATTCAAAATCAACATTCGTTATTAACTGTTCGACAATGTATATAACAGGTCTCCAACGTTCATGAATTATACTTTTATAACCCACTTTATGAAAACAAAATAATATCTCTTTTTTTGATACATGTATAATCTGAGAATGATGTTTGTTGTACTCATTGATGAACTCTTTTGGACATTTGCCATGCATTTCGATATTTTTGTTAAACAGCAAATATGTATTTTTGTGCATCAATAACGTATCCATCACAAATTATTGAACTGTGTTTGTATCTAATCAATGTTGTGCCAAAATACATCGGTTTCAACACAATAGAATGTCAGTTCGTGTATCTCATTAATATAAATTGTTGCATTATAAGGTGTCCAATGGTTCATTGATATTTACAAAGCCCATTTGTAAATGCACTGTTTTCATCTATTTCAGTTTTACCTTTTATATTGAATTTATCCTATAATAAACCCGATGGTGCTACTGTCTGTGTTTCACTTTAAGTTTCATACACAGATAAAAGTAATTTGGTGTAAATGTGTATCTACAAATCGTTCTATGTCTATCTGTATGAGTTGGTGTGAAAATTGCAGGCTATTATTGCCTTCGTACGTTTTCATATGCCCTTTGTACGTTCCCTCCTGCTCAAAGCGTTTGATGTCGTTTCTTCCTAAAGCCGAGACCGGGTCCGCGATGATCTGGGTGTGGCTCAAAATTAAACAGGAGGGGCAAACCGCAGGTTTTGGTCCATGTTTCCACTTACCAGGGCAACCCATTTTGGAATTCCGGTTTTTTGAGCCACAGCCATCTCTGACCCAGGTACTTGGACCGTGACACCGTGACACCACGCACGGCGCCTCCAAGGGATGGTCCAGAATGCCCGGAGTGTCGATGACCTGCGCGCGCCGGTTTAAGTTCCGCAATGCCCGTCTTTTGGAGTCCAACTCGTTCATTTCGGGGTTCTGCAGCTTTTTCCCCTTGGGATGACAACACTGGGGTTTTGATGATATTTTTGTCACCGCCGGCAAGCGCGGAACAACATACAAGGTCCCAGGCTTCAAGATCTGATGCCTTGCCAAACCATCCATTCTACGCAATGCTGGCACTGCCCGTCGCTGAGCCACGTGCACTCTACAACCGATGTCTTGGACTTACATCCTCTATGTGTGTGCGTGCGTGTGTGTACTGTTATGTAAGTGTTTCGGTTGTGTGCTTCTTGGCGCTTGCGCGATTCTAAGTTTGTGTGGAGTGTGCAAGTGCGCAATCGTGTAATTGTGTGGAACTGCGAGAGTCTGTGTAGGTGTGAGAGAGAGTGTGAGTGTGTGCTGTGTGCGTGTGCGTGTCTGCGTGTCTGCGATGTGTGCGTGGTGTGTGTGTGTGTGGGTAAGTGTGTATAATATGCGTATATGTGACTTGTCCAACAGTATGTATGTGTCTATATATCCATACTGTGATACTCGTGCACGTGCATCTATGCGTGTAAGAGTGTGTGAGTGTAAAATGAAGATAGGGCGAGAGACAGTGAAACAACAAAAAAGACAAACAGAGCGGGAAATAAACAGAGACAGACAGAGATCGAGAGAGAAAGAGAAAGTGTGTGTGTGTGTGTGCGCGTGCGTGCGTGCATGTGTTTGTGTGTCTGCGCATGTGTGCGTGTGTCTGCGCATGTGTGCGTGTGCGTGTGCGTGTGCGTGGGCGTGCGCCTGTGTGTGTGTGTGTGTGGGTGTGTGTGTGTGTGTGCGCGTGGTAAGGTGCGGCGTGGTGTAGCGTGGGTGTGGGTGTGGGTGTGTGCCTGCGCGCGCATGTGCGCTTGCGGGTGCATGTTCGTGTAGGCGGGCGGAGAGGTGGGCGGGCGGGTGGGTGGGTGGGTGGAGGTGGTGGGCGTGCTTGGATTTGGCTGTGCCTGTGTGTGTTTGTGTGTGTTTGTTTGTGCGTGCGTGTGTCCGTGCATGCTTTCAAAGGGTCTGCACTGACACGTCCTGCCTGCCACTTCACGTAGTTGTGGTCCAGGTGTCCAATGAACAGCGACTTGGTTGTGAAGGCATACCTGCAATGCCAAAAAAAACTGGACACCTTGCAAGTCTAGTTGAAGGACTCTTTTGAAGGCCATTCCTCGGAGCGAGACCAAAAGAGAAGCATGCGGTCCAACGCCCCAGAGGCCCCGGCTGTTGCACGTCCACATTCGCATTGGTGACAATGTTCATGAACGAGGATTTCCCCACGTTGGGATAGCCTGGAGACAACGGGTCGCTGAAAAGAGCGAACGGTTGCAACAGGACAATGATTCATGGGAATGTGGGCAAAGGGGACGGCAAACAAAGGATATAGTGAATCTTTCAACGCTAGAGACTCCCAGGACTTTGCAGAAAACTGGAAGGTGTGTGTCTCGGCCTGCCTTTAAGCGCAAGGAGTAGGGTGAAAATAGATGGTACTATTATCTTTCAGTCGAAGGGAAAAGCAACCCAAATCGTGTGTGTGTCTACTTTCAGCCAACTGATCGTCTCAAGGAGCACCAGGCCGTTTGGGTTGTCAAAAAACAATAGCGTCCCTGCGATGTGCCTTGCAACAGAAACTAAGAAAACAAGTTTCAGCCAGCAAAACACACAAAACACAGACACACAAAAAAACACTAGGAAACCGACTTTCAGCCAACCAAAGCACACAAAAAAACACACGCACACACACACACACACACACATCTCATTTGTTTTTTAAACATCAACCCCCCCCCCCCCATATCCCCCTGCAGGCCGTATTCGTTCGCCTGTCAGGATCAAGGTCCTGGTGGCAGGATTGATGGCCGGCAAGCGCCCCAGGTGCTGCCTCACCTGCCCAGCACTCCAATCGATCCCCTGTGGCCCTACCGTCTCGAGGGGTCCCGGTGCGGGAACCCACCTACCTTGGAAGGGATTTTAAACCCTCCAACTACCCGGAAAGAAGGGAGTCACCCACCAGAATTTTGGGGCCATTGGCCGTTTTTAAGGGCTTTTTGAGGGTCCAAATGTCTTTTACATTTGGCTTTCCCAAGATATTATTCAAGGGAATGGCGTCATACTGAAAATGTAGAGTGGCATGATGGGGAGGTCTGAGATGATGCTAGCTACCACCTCCCCTCCCTGAAATTCCATTTATGGAGCAATCAAAGGCAATAGCGGATGATGGCAAACGACGCCGGCATTGAAATGGAATGTTTTTGGGGGAGACTCGCCCGAAACTCATGTTCTGTCTTGCAACTTTTATTCGGGGTGTTTCCCCCAAAATGCAGGCCTGCCCAAGCTCCAAAAAATGGTGTGGACTGATTCCAGAACCTACCCACATTCCATTTGCGAACGGATAGGGCTGGAGAGCCCTCTCCGAAATTCCTGGGCCCTTGGCGACGTCGGGAGGGCGCCGAAATCCCCCTCTCATTATTTTCTCACACATACCCGCAGATCCGATTTCCAAAAAGGGTGCTGTTTTGGTTGAAGGTACGTGGCAACCGGCGAATGTGTTGAACCAAACTGGCAAAAGGGGTCATCCTTTTCCACCAAACTGACCTAAAAAACCCAATGGATGCTTTGTGAAAGGGAAAATAAAGGAACATCAAGAAGGCCACAAGAGAAAAACAAACGGAACGCCGAGGCGATGATCGGGAACTGGTCTCTTCAAAGTGAGAAAATGAGACCACCCTCCCAAAACCACCCTCCCAAAGGTGGCTAGTGGGAGGAATTGCAGAAGAGGGAAAAAACATCTCGCCTTTGCTTTGTGTGAAAACGAAACTCGATGAAACGTGAGCCACTTGCTCAAAACCCGGGTAGATGAAGGGTTGTAAAGGGCAGTCCCAGCCAGAAATAGTTGCGGACATCCGCCTTCTTAATTCTTTACATGGTTCTGGGTCATCTGAATACCGGGTATTGATTCTGACTCACGTGGCATTCTCTGCCCTTCTTTGTTCAGCTCTCAAAAAAAACATTCCGGTTCACATCCAGCACCCCATCGATCAGTACCAAGCCCTCAAGGACCGACCAGCAAGGAACTCACTTCTAATTATCCTTTTCACCCGTCAGTTTTTCAACATTAGGGTCCTGACAGTTGGTTGTGCTGTCCTGTTTTCCTGTACCGCCCCCGAAAAAGGGCACCAACTCGGAAAAGAGCAACGGCCGTCTACAGAATATCCAAACCCTGAATTAGGCAATCGGCGGACTTAGACCCATTCGTGGGAGAAAGGGTAAGCCATGGTAAGCCAAAAGAAGACCCAACCACGTTAGAGGGAAAGCACAGCTCATCTTTGTGTGTCTCTGGATGGTCGCCAAAAAAATGACAATGACAAGAACTAGTGGCTTCCCTGTTGTTTTCCCTAGAGCATCCAAACAAGACACACCCATGCGAGCTACAAGTATGGTCGTTGCCGTGGAAAACTGCGTGAGTCCCCCGCCAATAAGTATCCCCCGGTTTCTCCAAACTGATAAGCAAATCAGGACAGCTAGGTCCTCCAGTAGAGAGGTTAGAATTAGGGTACCCTTTTTCTCTGTAGTCTATTTTAATAGGGGAACCAACCCTCCCCCAAAAAAGGGTATAAGGGCACTGGGGGACCTAGACATGCTAACCGACCCTCCCATACCTAGACATTCCTTGGTCACAATTTTGCTGTTTATTGTCTCCAAGATGCACATTTCAGGCCATGCTAATTGGGAGCCTGGTGTCGTTTGCTGCGTCCAGTTTCTCGCCAATTTGCCCCTCATGGTCCGCTCATTTCCCAGCGGTGCTCGCTTAATTTCAAAGCGTTTCCACTCATGTCCAAATAAAAAAAATCGAACCCCTTGAAAAGTGACTAAGTGTAGGTGTTCTCAAAGAAACATGTGAACAGAATGGGATACCAGACCTTGGGGTTTCTCCAACAGAGCTCCCCTGCCAGATCAACCTGTTGACCCCATGAGTTTGCCACCACAGTCACCCATTTCTTGGTAGAGGTTCGGACATTGACAACTAATTGTCTGACTTTGTCCACGTTTCACCAAAGACAATCGCTCATTTGAGCTTGTGGCACTGGAAAAAAAAAACATGCCCGCAGAAACAGAACAACACGTGCATGTGTCAAAATACAGACCTCCAAAAGTGGCAGCTTGCTCCTTGCAAATTTGCCGACGGGTCGACTTACCACACCACGGATTCGGCTCCAAAGGACCAGCTTGGACCTGTTCACTTCGGCTCCAAGCCGCCAGTTGGGTTGGCAGAGGGTTTGGATTGGTTTGGGTTTTTTGGCAGAGGGCCGGGTTTCCCCCCTCCATTTGGCTGTGGCTCAAAAAACCGGAATTCCAAAATGGAACCCTGGCAAGTGGAAACATGGACCAAAACCTGCGGTTTGCCCCTCCTGTTTAATTTTGAGCCAAACCCATTTCACCACGGGCGCCAAGCCACCCAAATCACCCCCGATCTCTCGCCCCCGAACAACTTCTTCTGTCGGCCTCTTCGAGGAAGGACAAAGCCCCCTGAAGCTTCTTCACCGCGGTGGACATGCGCCCCAAGGCCTCGGCGCTGTCCGAGTTGACACGGCCCCTTCGGGCGGTTTCACAACCCAAAAACCACCCCAAAAAGGATTCGAGAAAGACCGGGAACAGCCAATGACCACTCCACTCATGGCTCCGTGATTCTTTTTTGAGGGTGCTCTTTAAGGTCGGTTTAAAGGGGCATCAAAAGGACACCATTGCTTCCTTCAAATTGGTTTGGAGCCCGGTGGTTTGGACGGGGGGTGCTTTCCCCATTTGGTTTCAATGGAAGCTGGGGTTCAAATCCAATCCAAACCACCAATTCAGGGGTACCTGACCCCATAAACATCGGGCAAAGCCTTTAACGAATCTTGGAAGTTGTCGCAGTGCCAGCGCTTTGTCTTTTTTGGCCAGCTAGGGGTTTTGGGATTTTTCAGAAAGCCGGAAAGTCGAACAAGCACAAAAAGTCCGGCAAGTGGACGAAGGAAAACAAGGGACACACCGAAAGGTCCGATGGAGACCCAAGCGGCGTGGCACCGTGGGGCGTGGGGAACCCTGGGTCCATAACAAGCCGCACCCCGGGCCAGCGGAGGCTGACAAGTTTGGAGGAAATCGCGGGTATGGCAGAGGCATTTTGAAGTCCCCGCAAAATAAACAAATAAATAAATAAATCCAGTATCCGAAAACGCCCAACTTACGCTTCAGGCGCGTCCAGGCGGGGTTGGGCCTACAAAGATGCTTCAACCCTTTTCCTTTTTCCTTTCTCCTCTTCCTCTAAAGTGCATGTGTGTAGGCTTGTTCCCATTGCTTCTCACAAACTCCCTTTTTGCTTTGCCTCTCAAGTGCACCGCCAAAAAAACAGCATCTGGAGCCTGCGCCTGCGACATCTTCCAATACTCAGGTTGAGCCTCAGCCCCAGGCAGCACGCTTCAGCATCTTGCACTTGTAAAGGCTGTCTGCGAACTTCATCATCTTCACCTGGGCGACTTGGGTCATGGGATAAGTCGCAAGGCCTTTGGAAGGAACGAAGTGAAAGCTTGGGCCATGTCGGACCAGAGGAGCACAGGACCATAAGTCAAGCCAATGAATCGATCCGAGTCAGCTTGGCCCAAAGTGTCCATGACAACTCCTGGCCATGGTGACTTTTGCCCATGGGGATGAATAGATAGGGAATGACTTTCCCATCCCTATCAACCAAGGAGTGTTCCACATGGCACATTTGTGCCTGGAATTGGGGGGTACCGAGTGATTTTGAGGTTGCTGTTGGCAAGAGAAACCACCATGGCCCTACTACCCCTACCAATGTTGAGACACACCTGCTTTTGGCTTGCAGAACAGGGCTTATCCAAGAGCCGCGAAAACGTGCTAAGCCGCAAAGCTTTCCTGAGACCAATGTTCTCCTCTTTGATCGAACTGGAAACGAGAATCTCAGTACTCAGCTGAGTAAAGGACCTTCATCAGCGCGCCCGAAGTGAACGACCTTTTTCATGCATGGGTCACTGAGAATGATATTGGATGGAGGGAGGTAAGTCGGTCCTCCTCGAAATGTGGGAGCCCTCTATTATATATATATATATATATATGATAAACTACCCCGTGACTCTCACCGAAAAGAACCAACCAACAGCCGTGCAACAGGGTTTCCCTGTTCCACTGAAACGAACCGCCGCCCTTGAAAGAGGGTTTCTACACTACCAGGCGGTTGCTTATTTATCCCACAAACAGCTAGGTCCTCCAGTGAGAGGCTAGAATAAGGGTACCACCTTTTTTCTGTAGTCTATTGTAGTAGGGGGACCCAAAACCAACCCAACAAGTTGGTGAGAACAGGGCACCCTAGCTGAGAAAAGGCGAACAACAACCGCGTCAACCGGATCTCCGGACTCCGCCCAGAAAAACATCCGCCGGAGGGCATACTCCTTGGCAATGCCGTCCACCACCTTCTTGCAGGCATTCACCTGGCGAGGCTCACAGAAATCGACGGCAGCAGGGATCCGGATGCATGAAAAATTGCCTTGTACATGGTGGTTTCCAACTTTATTCTGGTGTTGAAAAAGCCACGTTTCAAATGGTTGCCAAATGCATTTCCTTTAAGGAGCCCGGTGGAACGGTCCTTTTTCTTGGCCTTGGATCGAAACCCCGGGGCCCTTGGCTTCAAAATCGCCGGCTCGTCTTTTTGGTTGGGGTGTCCGCAAGTTGCCCCCCCCCCCCCCCCCACCCCCCGGTTTTTATTTTTTTTTCCCGTCGAAGGCGCCACTTTTTTGGGCCCCGGGGGGGCCCAGGATGGCCCAGGGGACTCAACTCGCCTGACCCAGCGCCAGCTTGTAGTGGTCCCGGTCGTACAGGACATTGCCTCGCAACAGGTCGGCTTTAGGCCCAGACTTGAGAGGCTAGAACTCGGTTGGCTAACTCTGCTCTGCTCCCCTACAAGTGAATAACTTTTAGTGGCTTAATTCGGAAAACCCCAGTAGTTGGCAAAAAGTTATTCAGTCCGAACATCCAAGCAACATGCACCAAAGAGAATAAGTTGGTACCATTTCTTTTTCTCTGTCGATTTTAGTAGGGTTGAACCCAAAACCCCAACAAAGGGTAAAAGGGCACAACTGGGGGACCATTTTTTTTCCGAGGGGACCTCCGCAAAATGGTGCCTTTCTTTCGGTTTTCCTGTTGGTTTCCCTTGAACACCAAAAACCGAGGGGGGGGAGGGATGTACCAACTCCTTGAAACCAACCTGACAAAAGGGTACCCGAAGAAGAACAACACCCAAGCAAAAGCATTGCAGCTCCAAACACCGAACCCTCAAAACCCTCAGCCATCCAAAAAGTCGATTTGAGCTATGCAAGACAGGTGTCAATGGCAGCGTTCCCTAGGGGTCACTGGAAAGCCCCAAGGTTGATGGGTCAATTTAAATCTGGTTTCCACTCAAACCGCCACTTGGGAGGTTCCAAAAGGGAACTGGAGTCAACCATGAAGAACGTCAGAACATTGACGCATCGAGGTCACCGAATCAGAGGGAGAGCAAGCCCACCCTGCGCCAGATTCCCGTCACGGCCGTCAAATGTTGGGCATCTGGGTGCACTTTTTTGAGGGCACAGTTGTTTGGTTGGCGAAGGGAAACCAAAAGGAACCACCCATTTTGGGTTGTCCAACCTTAAACGACCGACACGCTCAAGAGTGAAGCTCGAGGGACAAAGGTCTGCATAGAAGGGGTGGATGTCGTCGATCTTGGGAAACCTCAGAAGCTTGACGTCTTCTCGCGGTTCTTTGCTGGCGCTCAGCCTTCTCGCGGCACTTTGCTGGCGCTCAGCAGGGGATGACCGAGTCTCTTACAGGAAACCATGTAGGGGATGTTTTTTTTTGCTTGCGATCATTCCACTTCTCATTCCCTGCCTATCGAACCAGCAAGTCAAAGGATGCGAAAAATGAGAGAAAACCTTGCCGGCCAAAATACCGAGCACACATCACCAAGGACCCAGGGATAGGTTACTCCTGAGGACCACCCCTTTAACAGCCCAAAAGTAAAACAATGAGGCCAAACCTACCCTCTGTCAGGCTTCCTTTCAAAGGAAGATGGTCTTCCAGGACCAGAAATGGGGGATCAAGGGTTTATCCCCACTTCTGTGATAGGAATCTCCGGCTTTAAGCAAGGAATCTCCGCCTTTTAAAAGGGGTGTTAGTCTTTGGGAAGCCGTTTTTTGTTGCATCACAGAAGTGGTCCACAGCCCTGTCCAGGACAGAGCCCTTGGTCAGGTTCCGTGTTCAGGCGGGCTTGTGTAGAGGTACCGAGGTCCAGACTCCTCCAATATCTTGGAGAGCTTCTCGCTGTAACTCGTCTGGCAGAACTTCACCTGCTCGGAATCAAAACCCGACCGCGTTTTGAAATGGTGGATCCCCAGAACCATGCTTCAAGCATTCAAAAGCGGGATTCCGCACCAATTGGTGGCTTGGATTGTCCCTTACTACCCTGCAACTACCTGGGTGTTGATTCTACCTGGATGAATCGGCCAACGTTTATCGCAATGGGGGTCAATGTTAGCATTGTTTACCCTTCAGGCGTGTCATTGTCTAGCTTGGGACCAATTTCTATTGGGTGGAACCCAGGGAACAATTCGGGCCAATTCGGGCTCCCCCCCAAAGGACCAAAGTCCAGAGAGACAAATGACACCTCAGTTTCTACTCATCTTGGGCCGTTTTGGGTTCAAATCCCGTTTAGAAACAGGGCCTTGGCTCATAGCCTCAATGTGGCGTCTATATCCGAGAATAATATGATAGGCAGCTTCGATTCAACAAATCCAGGGTGAAAATGATTCAAATTACAAAGATGACATTGGAAGTTCGGCGAGACCCTGCTACCTGGTTCTCCCCAAGTCCAGCTGGGTATGGGTCAAATTTTAATTGAACCACGAGGGGACTGCAGGTCTTAGTCCTTGTTCCATTTACCAGCGTTCCATTTTGGGTACCTATTCTTGACCCACACCCATTAACTTGTGACAGTGGCCCACAGCTCGATTCGCCCTTTTTGCATTAGTCTGAATCGGCCGAATATTATTCAACATGGCCGAAGAATTATTGTTTTCGCTTTCAAGGGACTGAATCGGCCGGAAGCCAAACACTCCCTAGCTTCAGTCAGGCTGAGGAAATAGGGGCGTAGAGAATCAGAAACAGTCAGAAACACTCCCATCATCCTTTGCTGCAGGGCAAACCAAATATAAGAGTGACCCGGATTGCCCCCGAAGACTTGTATTCCCTTCACACCCAACGAACACTTTCAGATTGGAAGCACCCGGGGCTATCTAGCTCCGAGCTTCGCCAGATGTAGTGAAGGACCATGCCCGGGCTAACCCAAGCAAATGCGGGATGCGAGCAGGGGCAAAGAACCAAAATCCCCAAATTATTTTCTTGCCCTCTCTCCCACTGACATGGCACCGGTGGGAGGGTGCCTGGAAGATCAAATTCCTCTTGGAAGGACCTGTCATCTTTGTGGGAGATGTGGGGCGTCTGAATCCGAGATTTGAAAAGGCACCTTGCGCATGTAGAAGCTCCGGATGCGGGTGATCTTGAAACCTGCCACAAAACACACCCAACCCCCCGCCTTTCCGGCCCCCGTGGTTTGTTCCCTCTCTCTCTCTCTCTCTCTTTTTTTGGGGGCCCCTTCCGTTTGCTTAAGCCTTCTGGAAAAAATGAAAAGTCTTCAGTAGTGATAGGTTCCCTTTAAAACCAATAATAACATATTCATTTCAGCAAATTGACGAAACTAGGCTGACATCAACATCTCTATCAGCTCCCTGCCCCCACCGTTCCCTCCCAATTCCCTCATGAGATGGGGCTGCAAGAGCTGCATGGGAATGGCCGAAAAGGCGCACTCAATTCGATGCATCTCTGCGAATCGAGTCCCATGTCTTTGATCGCCGAGATGTTCACGGCGCTTTTTGCTCGCCATAGAAAAGCGTCGAATAGCGTCAAGAAACCGCGGCGCTTGACCCGAGCCGCGCACCAGGATGTACCACAGTCGGAGTCTTGCGCTGAGTCTTTGAGAGCACCTCGGAATCGAGAAAATCAGGCCACTCTTGGAGTCCTGTGCATTTTTCAAAAGAAAAAACCCAAAAGGAGTTGACCAATTTTCTGAGAAACGTCAAAAAAGAGCTCTCCCTCCCTCCCTCCCTCCCTCCCTCACTCTTTCTTTCTTTCTATCTCTCTCTCTCTCTCTGTCTCCCTTCAAGCCGGCTTGAAGACTTCGAAGAAGCTGCCTGGATGTCAACACTGACGCCAATGAGAAGGAATGCTAAACCACTTGATCTGTAGGTCTCCCTCCCATATCCATACTGCAACCCACTCTAAAAGGAGCTCTATCGGTGCGACCTCCCAATTGTCCACCCGTTTTGGTCGGAAATGTCATCCCCACCCCCCAAAAAAAAAACCCGACCCTCAGTGACATGCTTCCTCTTCACTTTGAGGCGCAATGTCCACCAGCTGCTTTGCCGTCGGTATGGTTTGGATGTCCTTGAATCGGTACATGACGCCTGGCTCGCTCGTGCTGGCCAGATCATGGGAGAATCCCACTGCGAGTCCGGCAAACACTGAGTCCAGGAGGAAGTCTAAAAACTGAAGGCAAGTTCCCTGGTTTTCGCGGAACAAACGAATCCCAGCAGGTACAGAACAAACAATGCTGTGCAGCCACCTTTTGGGCGTTTCCCCGAGTTGGCACCAAATTTGCAAGTCCATCCAGTGGGTTCTCGCAAGGGCCGGCCCTGCACGCACCTGGAAACGTCAGTGGGTTCCGGAGAGAAAACACATGCTTTTCACTTCCGTAAAGGAAAGCCACTTCAATTGGCCCATTTGGGGTGATGTTTGATACCACCAAAAGGCTAAAAGTTGTGTATCCTCGGACAAGCAGCATGGCACAAAAATATATCCCGTCATGCGCAAAGGAATCTAGGGGTAACCCTTTTGGTGGGTTTCCTGTTGATTTCCACTGGACGTACTTTTCCAGACGCATTGGTCAAACGCCCTCATGTCCCTCACAGGGCTGGCCTGGCGGACGGGCTTGCGATCTGCACGTTCGCTGGCAACAGAGTCGTGCTTGAGTCGAGTTGAAGGCCTTCTGCTTTCGATCTGAAGTTGAAAATCGCAATTGAGCCTCTGATCTTGCGGACACGCATAGCTCAACACGGGTCCATCTCAGGATTTCAAGCCGTGGCTTCATGCGCCAGTTGGAAACATTCAGAGCGGGTGAGCAAGGAAGCAAGCTCCGGGGTCCTGAAACAACCTGAGCGGCGCATAACTCTGTGCTGATTCTGAAAAAGCTGTTTTGACCGACCTGTGTGAGTGTTGTCCACTGTCCGCGGTTCGCCATGCGGAACGTGAAGTCAAGGGAAGCAACACGAAAATCCGCCGGAAGAGTTACCACTGAGCTCGTCTCCGGAAGCCCTCCAAGTCCATATCTCCACCAATCCGAACTGCCGCCCGATCCGGAAGAGATCGCCCATTTTGCACAAAGAATTAGATGCCAAAAAACTCGCCCCATACACCCGGCCTTCAGCCAGAGGACAGAAAACGGAACGGAACGCCCCGCGCGTTCGTTGAAGTTGCCGCGGACCTGTCTCGCAAGTGTCACTTCCTGTAACACAGAAACCTCAAATGAAAAAATGGCTGCCGTCCATAGGTGAAGCACAAGGGTAACATAGAAGCTTCAAACAACACGCCGTCCATAGGCGAAGGTCTGACCGTTTTTTTGTGTTTTTCTTCCAGTGCAGTGACCTTCGATGAGGCCCGGGCAGAAAACCGCATTGCCGGACCGGAAGGATCCGTAACTAGGTCCTCCAGTAGAGAGGTTAGAATAAGCTGGTGCCAACTTTTTTTCGGTCGTCGATTCTAGTAGAGGAACCCAAAAAAAAACACCATAAAAAAAAGAAAGGGTAAAAGTTGGCACCAATTGCTGGGGGACCAAAGGGAAGCTCACCCTTCCGCAACGGATGTCTCGAATTCCCGAAGCACCTCTGCCCAATGGGCGCTTCACGCCGGTCAGCGCAACGAGCCGGCGGACCCGGAATCCCATTCCTCGGCTAGAACTCGCCAGGCCAGAGCAAAGCCGAAGCTCCGAGCACGACTTGAGTGAGTTTCAACAGGCATTTATTTGGTGGGGATCCATGTCCACCAACCACTTGTGAGGTGGGTTCCCAAAATGAAATTCCATAGCCTTCTTAGCCAAATCAAGCCCTGACTCATTTCTTCGGGCCAGTGCGAGCGCCATTCTAAGCCATGCCGTCGAATTCCTGGGACAAATCGCAATCGCGCCCCCTGAACCGCTCCGAGCAGTTGCCATTCTGCTAGGGGTTGATTCCAACCATTCTTTTCAACCATGGTTCTTTTCAAAAACGAGCTGCTTCCCCTGTGTTTTGGATGGTTTCCTGCAAAGAAGTACCCCGAGAACTCTCAGAATCAAGAATCACCAGTGGTCTGAAAAACAGAAGCTTCTGCCCACAAAACACGGAGTGCGTCCGCGTCGGCTGGCTGCATAGAACAGCTCGGAGCACCAAACACAATTGGGTCAATTGACAGCCTCTCTTTTGCAACCTTAGGCCTTAGTGCCTTGCGGGCATCGCATTGTTGTTACGCATAGTCTGATCTGCTTGGCAATCGCTCAGACACGGGCACAGCAATTCGCGCGGCCCCCATTCCGGGGCTTGGGATGGTCCCGCTAACGCAAAAGCATGGGCTTCGCCCACGGTGTCAACCTGGGCATAGGATGCTCGTGAATGGCCCAAAAAGTCCAACCTTCGAATTCCGCTGCGAGATGCTTAGAATGAAACACTTGATTGAACAAACGTGAGCCGTGCGGCAGAAACCAATGGCGGGCTAAAACCACAAAACAAAACCAAAATCAAGACGCGACCCGAAACTTGGCACATGATGTCTCGCCAGGGTTTTCATAGGTTCATTCTGTACCATGGAAGGTTCAAGTGGGAAGCAACCGCAAGTTGCGCTTCCGACCCTGAGCTCCCAACCTGCGACAATACTTGGCTGAGGTAGGCAACCCCATGCCTACCTCGCGGTCCGAGGGCCCTAGACTCCAAACCCCGAGACCAACCCCGAGAGTGACTTGGAATGGTGCGAATTTTAACTAAGAGACCGCTTTGGTGGACATCATTTTGGTGGGGAATCATGTCCACCAACCACTTTGGAGGTAGTTGCCTATTAAGATTCACAGCCACTTGGAATGGCTTGTCTTGGGTCTGTCATCCTTTGATGTTCCAACTGACTCAGGCGCCCATGCCAGCTTCAGCTGCTCACGGCAAAACATAAAGCAGTTTGTACCTGAATCATTGTTCTCCAAACAATGCAACGGAAGAACCAATCCAGTTTTGCTCAAAACTGTTGAGCAGTGGCAGCGGCGACAGCAAGTTGGCTGCCGTAGTCTTTCTGCCCATCTCGAACAGATTCACAAGCTCTCACTAAGTGGATCGGCCAGAACAGTCTGCACTTTTTGTTTACCACCAAGATGGTCTTACACCAAAGTGACTAACAGTTCCATAAACTCAGCTGAGTAAAGCAGAATCCTGGGGAACCGGCTGCCTTCTCAGGGAGGAGTTCCAACTAAATCATGGCTTCAACCAAACACAGCTGAACCAAAACCCACCGCCACAGTGGTCATTCTTCTGTGTTTCTGTTTTCCATGTCTGCGTTGTGTCTTTGTTCTTGTGTCTTTGCGTGTGCATTGGTGTGATTGTGTATATATATGTGTGCGATTGTATGCCTGACATGGGTGTGTGTGTGTGCTTTTGCTCGTGTGTCTGCGCGCGCTTGCACGTTTTTTATTGTGAGCTTCTATGTTTGTGTGGGTGTCTGTTTGAATGTGAGTGTGTGTGTGTGTCTGCTTGCGCGTGTGTGTGTGTGTGTGTGTGTGTGTGTGTGTGTGTGTGTGTGTGTGTGTGTGTGTGTATGTGTGTGTGTGTGTGTGTGTGCGTGGGTGCGTGTGTGTGTGTGTGTGTGTGCGCGCGTGCGTGCGTGCGTGCGTGCGTGCGTGTGTGTGTGTGTGGGTGCGTGTGCGTGCGTGCGAGCGTGCGTGCGTGCGTGTGTGTGTGTGAGCGTGAGTGTGTGTGTGTGTGTGTGTGTCTGTGTGTGTGTTTGTGTGTGTGTTTGTGTGTTTGTGTGTTTGTGTCATTGTGTAATTGTGTAATTGTGTGTTTGTGCGTTTGTCTGTTTGTGTGTTTGTGTGGTTGTGCGGTTGTGTGGTTGTGTGCTTGTGTGGTTGTGTGTTTGTGTGTTTGTGTGCTTGTGTGCTTCTGTGCTTGTGTGCTTGTGTGTTTGTGTGCTTGTGTGCTTCTGTGCTTGTGTGCTTGTGTCCTTGTGTGCTTGTGTGCTTGTGTGCTTGTGTGCTTGTGCGCTTGTGTGCTTGTGTGCGTGTGTGCTTGTGTGTTTGTCTGCTTGTGTGCGTGTGTGCGTGTGTGCGTGTGTGCTTGTGTGCTTGTGTGCTTGTGTGCTTGTGTGCTTGTGTGCTTGTGTGCTTGTGTGTTTGTGTGGTTGTGTGCTTGTGTGGTTGTGTGTTTGTGTGTTTGTGTGTTTCTGTGTTTCTGTGTTTGTGTGTTTGTGTGTTTGTGTGATTGTGTGTTTGTGTAATTGTGTGTTTGTGTGTTTGTGTGTTTGTTTGTTTGTGTGTTTGTGTGGTTGTGTGGTTGTGTGTTTATGTATTTGTGTGTTTGTGTGTTTGTGTGTTTGTGTATTTGTGTGATTTTGTGTCTGTGTGTGTGTTTGTGCATGGTTGTTTTGTGTCATAGTGTTTGTGTGTGTATATTGCTGTGTGATTGTGCACGTATGTGTGTATGTGTAAACGTTTGTGTACTTATGCTTGTATGTTTGTCTGCGTATGTGTGTGTGTGTGTGCGTCTGTGTGTGTGAGTCCGCTTGCTTCCTTGCTCGCTTGCTTGCTCGCTTGCTTGCTCGCTTGCTTGCTTGATTGCTTCCTGGCTTGCTTGCTTGTTTGCTTGCTTGTTTGTGTGTGGGTGCGTGTGTGTGTGTGTGTGTGTGTGTGTGTGCGTGCGTGCGTGCGTGCGTGTGTGTGTGTGTGTGTGTGTGAGTGTGCTTGTGTGTTTGTGTGTCTGTGTGTTTGTGTCATTGTGTAATTGTGCAATTGTGTGTTTGTGCGTTTGTCTGTTTGTCTGTTTGTGTGGTTGTGTGGTTGTGTGTTTGTGTGTTTGTGTGTTTGTGTGTTTGTGTGTTTGTGTGTTTGTGTATTTGTGTGATTTTGTGTCTGTGTGTGTGTTTGTGCACGGTTGTTTTGTGTCATAGTGTTTGTGTGTGTGTATATTGCTGTGTGATTGTGCACGTATGTGTGTATGCGTAAACGTTTGTGTACTTATGCTTGTATGTTTGTTTGCGTATGTGTGTGTGTGTCTGTGTGTGTGTGTGTGAGTCCGCTTGCTTGCTTGCTCGCTTGCTTGCTTGCTTGCTTGATTGCTTCCTGGCTTGCTTGGTTGTTTGCTTGCTTGTTTGTGTGTGGGTGCGTGTGTGTGCGTGCGTGCGTGCGTGCGTGTGTGTGTGTGTGTGTGTCTGTGAGTGTGAGAGTGTGTGTGTGTTTGTGTGTTTGTGTGTTTGTGTTTGTGTGTTTCTGTCATTGTGTAACTGTGTAGTTGTGTGTTTGTGCGTTTGTCTGTTTGTGCGTTTGTGTGCTTGTGTGGTTGTGTAGTTGTGTGGTTGTTTGGTTGTGTGGTGGTGTAGTTGTGTGTTTGTGTGTTTGTGTGCTTGTGTGCTTCTGTGCTTGTGTGCTTGTGTCCTTGTGTGCTTGTGTGTTTGTGTGTTTGTGTGGTTGTGTGGTTGCGTGGTTGTGTGGTTGTGTGTTTGTGTGTTTGTGTGTTTGTGTGTTTGTGTATTTGTGTGATTTTGTGTCTGTGTGTGTGTGTTTCTGTGTGTGTGTTTGTGCATGGTTGTTTTGTGTCATAGTGTTTGTGTGTGTATATTGCTGTGTGATTGTGCACGTATGTGTGTATGCGTAAACGTTTGTGTACTTATGCTTGTATGTTTGTTTGCGTATGTGTGTGTGTGTGTCTGTGTGTGTGTGTGAGTCCGCTTGCTTGCTTGCTCGCTTGCTTGCTTGCTTGCTTGCTTGCTTGATTGCTTCCTGGCTTGCTTGGTTGTTTGCTTGCTTGTTTGTG